TGGCCGCCGCGCTGCGCGAGCGGGGCCTCTCGCTGGCCGCCTTCGGCACCATCTCCTCGGCCTCGCTCRCGGGTACGTTCCCCCCTCGCCCGCCCGGGCTCCTCGCGCCCGGCGCGGCCGCCTCTGAGCCCGCCGTGGGGGGCTCCCGCGGCCCTTCCTGCCCCCCGCTCTGTTGCAGGCGCCGCCGAGGCCTCTCCGCACCGGCCCGGCCTCAAAGCAGGTGAGGGGCAGCGAGCGGGACAGGCCGCGCGCCCTGCGAGCCGGCCCTTTSCCTCGCCAGCACCCGCTCTGAGAGGCGGCTGTGCCCCGTCTTGCCGGGACGGGCTCTTTTGCTCTGCCCTCATCCCGGGAGCCTCTCCCTGAGGTGCAGCCGTGTCCCGGCTGCGCGCCGAGGGGCCGTGGGGCTGACCTGGGATACGGCGGCGGAGGGGCTGAGCGCGGCCTTGTCCCCAGGGAGCTGCCCCGCGCACGGCTTCCCCTGCCGCAACGGCCAGTGCGTGTGGAAGGAAAACCCGGAATGCGACGGCCGCAAGGACTGCTCGGACGGCTCCGACGAGAAAGGCTGCAGTGAGTCACTCCTGTCGGGGCACAAGRACGTAGTTCTCAGCCCCAGGAACCCGTGGGGTCCTTGATGAGAGCCGAGCACRGGGCTCGAGTCTGCCCGTGTCGGGGTGCAGCAGACGAACCCGATCCCCCCTGCCTTGCAGCCTGCGGGAGCCGCCCAGCCCTGCAGACCGCCAGCAGGATCGTGGGGGGCTCCGACGCGGCCCGAGGGGAGTTTCCATGGCAAGTCAGCCTGCGGGAGAACAACGAGCACTTCTGCGGCGCCACGATCCTCACGAGGAAGTGGCTGGTGTCGGCCGCTCACTGCTTCACCGAGTAAGCTCTCTTCCTTCTCTTCCTGAAAGCTCCCATCTCCAGAGGCTCCCGCTGTGCTCAGGCAGCTCCATCGCTGCTGCTTTCCTTGCCTGTCCAGCTTTAGCCATGGAAAACTCATGTGCTGGTAGCCAGGGGACAGGGAGGTGGCATCACTGCAGCAAGCASCTTGCTTGTGTGCAGGGCACTCCTGCTGGCTCCAATCTGCCCAGTGCCCTCCGTGTGTGCTCCAGGTTTCAGGACCCGACCCTGTGGGCAGCGTTCGCCGGGACCACGTCGCTCAGCAGCACAGACAGCAGCGCGGTGAAAATGGGCATCRCAAGGATCATCTCGCACCCCTCCTACAACGCAGACACGGCCGACTACGACGTGGCCGTGCTGGAGCTGAAGAGACCCTTGACCTTCTCCAAGTACATCCAGCCCGCGTGCCTGCCCGCCGCCGGGCATCGCTTCCCCGCGCGGAAGAAGTGTCTCATCTCCGGCTGGGGCTACCTCAAGGAGGATTTCCGTAAGCACAGTCCCGTGGGAGACACAGGGGGATGGAAGCGGAGCGTAAGCACTGCAAGGATGGTGGAGAGGGGCCCCAGGGCTGTGCTCCTGCCAGGCTACGACAYGGGGAGCTGGAGCCACCACAAGGCTCAAATCTTCTCCTTTCGCTTAGTGGTGAAGCCCGAGTTCCTGCAGAAAGCCACGGTGGAGCTGCTGGACCAGGCGCTGTGCTCCAGCCTCTACAACCACGCGCTCACGGACAGGATGCTGTGTGCTGGCTACCTGGAGGGGAAAATCGACTCCTGCCAGGTGAGGAGCTGCCCAGGGGAGCCGGCACCCTGCTCCAAGCTAGGCTGTCCTTTCCTTCAGATGGCTCTTTTGGCTGCTTAACTGCTTTTCTGCTTCCTCGGTTGTAAAACAGGGCCGATGGTACTGCCAGAATGGAAGCGGGGAAGGGAGAACAAAAATCTGTGCCYGCTGGCAGCAATGAAAGCTGGGCTTAGTCTGTAAGAGCAGCAGCTTGGTAAATGAGGAAACCAGATGAAATACTTGCCCTAGATTTTATAGGGAAGGTCCTTGTGCTCCTCTGGCATATTAAGGGCACGGGGTATTGCTGAAGAGTAGGACAGTGCAGTCCTGCTCAACAGGCCCATGCAAAGGCCAGCCCAGGACACCTTGGCTCRTCACTATGCAGGAGATCAGCAGAGGAGGGGACACAGGGCCAGGGGCTGGCACGCAGGGCTCACCACACGCACTTGTCTTGCAGGGTGACTCAGGTGGACCGCTGGTTTGCGAAGAACCATCCGGCAAGTTCTTCCTGGCGGGAATCGTGAGCTGGGGAATTGGATGTGCTGAAGCTAGGCGGCCTGGGGTTTACAGCCGTGTTACCAAACTGAGAGACTGGATCGTTGCTGCTATTTCGGGCTTCCCCCACTCCGTAAGCCACAGCGTCCCCCTGGGACACCCCAGCACCAACAGCAGCACGGTGCCCCCCGAGGATCTCGGCGACCCGGTCACTGCAGCAACGCCCAGCACCTCGGCAGCCCCGGCCGCCAGCAAGGCGGCCACCGCCTCCAGGCCACAAGGTGCGAGACACAGCGGCGCGGCTGCAGCGGGACACAAGGTGCTGGGACRGGCCCACGCCGGGGTTTACTCTTCTACTGAGCTGAAATAACCTATGTCAGGGTGACACACAACCCTCAGCTAAGTGCTGAAGGCCAAGGCAGCTCCAGCTTAGCTGCAGCASAGCAATCAAGTCAGTCCTTATGCAGACAAGTTTCGTGGTCCAACTTGTTTGTGCAACTGAATGTGTAATTTTGCGCCCAGCACCAGGCTCCAACATGTCCAGGACCCCTGGCAGGCGCAGGCAAGACTCAGCAGTGTCTGATACTGCTTAACACGTTGACCAGACGCTCAGTTTTCTTTGCTACCCAACAATCTTGCAGCAGTTCAAGCTCCATGGCTGCAGCTCCAYTGCAGCTATGGAGCTCCTCAAAGCGGAGGAGTCTACGGGACTTGTGAGCTCCCTGGAGCAGCTCTGCAGGGAGATACAGATTTTTCTAAACTGAAGCTTAACTTTCTTTCTGGAATGGCAGGGCTAAGGGGCTCAAAAGTGCAGGCTCCTTTGCCTTCAAGAGCTGCATAGGCTTAAGGGCCTGCCAGAAGCAAGTCTCAGAGACAGTTAYGGTGAAGGCCACATATGGTTGTACCTGGTCACCATCAGCAAGTCCCTAGATCAGCAGGCAGGGTTTGGGCAGATGCCTCAGACTTGTCCCTGCCTGGACTTACCAGCTAGAGAAAGCCAAAGTCGCAAAGTCTCCTGCTAGAAGTACTCACAAGCCACGCGTTGATTTGTGTTCAGAGTGTGGAGGACGACCTGGACTCTCCAAACCCAGCAAGATAGTGGGAGGAACGGATGCCTCCAGAGGAGAGATCCCCTGGCAGGTCAGCCTGAAAGAAGACTCCAGGCATTTCTGTGGAGCCACCATAATCGGGGATCGCTGGCTGCTCTCGGCTGCTCACTGCTTCAATCAGTAAGATCCTGTTTATCCACGCTGGGTTGGGGTAGAGGGCTGTGCTGGTTGCTGAGCTATTGTACTTCGCTTGCCCACTAACACGGACCTGCACAGGTCTGGCCGTGCAGCCAAAACCACAGCTGCAGCAATGGGGTCACCAGGAAAAACAGCAGCACTGGACACCAATTTTCCCCACTGCTAGAGGTTAATCGTAAAAGGGACTTTGTGGGTGAGGGAAGGGTTAAAATGATCTGGACGGGGAGCGAGGACAACRTACCTGGGATATGCAAGCAAAGGAGAGCAGCTCCTCATAAGTGCCACACAGCTGTGGAACACCTCACCACGAAAAGTACCAATGTGTAAAGTTTACACGGGGTTAAAAGAAACAAAGAAAATGTAATTCTAGAAAAAATCAAGTTAAAAATCCATTACAGCTATCACACATGTGATCCACATGTCAAAACATTCCTGGAGAGCCTCACCACACACTTACCTGCTCTTCAAGAGGCATCCACTCTTGGAAACAAGTTTTTGGGGTCTGACTCTTTGGGGCCACTCTTGTGTGTGCAGGGCTCTGCTTTGGTGAGGATTTTAAACACTGCTGCTTTAATGTTGCCAGCATTTAAACAGCGAGCAGGACTCGTGCCAGGCATGTGTGTGTGAGCACATGTGTTTAGGATTATGTATTTGCAGGACAATGCCAGAAGAAATCGAAGCCTACATGGGAACYACATGGCTAAACGGAACAGATGGTGACACGGTGAAAGTCAACGTAACACGAGTGATCCAGCATCCCCTCTTCAACCCTGTCATTCTGGATTTTGACGTTGCTTTATTGGAGCTGGCAAGACCCCTTGTCTTCAACAAATACATCCAGCCCGTCTGTCTTCCACTTGCTGTGCAGAAGTTTCCCGTTGGCAAAAAGTGTGTGATTTCTGGGTGGGGAGACACTCAGGAAGGCAATGGTAAGTGGCAGCTCTTCACCCGCTGATGTGCTTGGCTGCACTGGCAGGTTCAGYTGCAAAGCCTGCACCAAGGCGACCCAGAAAGTGTGGGGAGCAGAGGAAGCCTAAAACAGGGACAGTCAGGAACCCRGAGGAACATGGGAGCCAAAGATGCCAGTAAAAGTATGTGCAGCACTACCTTAAATTGCAGTTATTGAGACACCATTAGCAAACAAGAATATGGAGATAACAGCTTGGCTGTTATCYACTGGGATCCCCTAAATAGTTGTCCCATTTTAAGCAATCATGGCTCGTTGCTTCAGCTTTGTAGATTCCTGGCAGGACAGGACAGCTGCCTCGGTGACCATGCAAGGCTTTGTCACTAAGATGCACCAAGCAGTTAGAACTAGACCCAATATCAAGAGCCTGTAGGTGGCACAGGTCCTACCAAATAAGTCTTACTGTCCSTCCAGTCAGCGAGGAGCCACAAACAGCCAAGATAGCAGAAAACTTGCTGCCTGTGCCCAGAATCCTGCACAGAGGTGCAAAGCTGCTGTAGTAAACCATGAGTTTCAGGGCCAGAGTCAGCTCCTATCCAGGATTAAAGCTGKTTTTTTTTTCAGAAGTACATGTTAGATCAGTCTAGAGGTCTTCAGCTCCCACTTCCAATGCTGCACTTGCTAATCCTACTGTTTTCTTGCAGTCACCCAACCTGAGAGCCTGCAGAAAGCATCCGTGGGCATCATAGACCAGGAGACCTGCAACTTGCTCTACAACTTCTCCCTCACGGACCGTATGATCTGCGCTGGCTTCCTGGAAGGGAAGGTGGACTCGTGCCAGGTGAGAGCCTGCTGTTTCTCCACTGCTCTCCCCCAGGTAGCTGGACTAATTCACAGGCCCCGCATTCTCTGGGGAAATCCTCAGTGYGCTGCGGTAGCCAGGTTGTGAGCAACGTCCACCTTAGCTCTAAATAAAAAGAAAAGGCCCCCATTGCCCTGGAGCTTGAGCAAAGTAAATGAAGCACACTGAGCATGACTAAAGCCAGCATATTGTTACTCTGATTTCAGAAGAGTGGAGTTCTGAGCAGTCCTTGTCTTGCTTCTGTCTCTCAGGGAGATTCTGGAGGGCCCCTGGCCTGTGAGGAAACCCCTGGCGTGTTCTACCTGGCTGGCATCGTGAGCTGGGGAATTGGCTGTGCCCAGCCTAAGAAACCCGGTGTCTACTCCAGAGTCAGCAAGTTCAAAGACTGGATCCTGGAGACCAYGGCAGAGTTGTCCAGTCCTGGCACAGCCACTTGGTCCAGTTCAGCCATCCCCGGAGCTTCCACTACAGCCACCCTCACCCAAGAGCCCAGCACAACCGCTATGAGCCCGGTCAACAGAACCACCCTGTGGGTGAAGACCACCACAAGCAGGACAGAAACCACCGCAGCTCTGGAAACAACCGGGCCTGTCAACCCCACCCAAACCCCAGGTAAAAGCTCACTGACAACCGATTTACAACCATGCTAGTAGGTGACCCCTGGCATGAGGGCTTCTAAGCAAGCCATGGGTTATTCCCTTGTAGAGGTGCCTTGTACCGGCCTCACCTTCAAGTGCTCCAGCACAGTCTGCATTGGAAAAGCAAATCCCGAATGCGACGGCGTTGCTGACTGCAGCAACGGCTCTGATGAGCGCAACTGTGGTGGGTACTTCCCGACCACGTGAGTGTCCCCCAAAAAAAGACCTTGCTCATCTCTTAAGGTTACTCAGCACTGTGTCACCTCTCTTTCTGTCCCAGACTGTGGCTTAACTGCTGCTCTGGCCTTCAGCAAGATCGTGGGCGGCAGCAGCGCAGCGCGGGGGGAATGGCCGTGGCAGGCYAGCCTGTGGCTTCGGCACAAGGAGCACAAGTGCGGCGCTGTCCTCGTCGCGGACAGGTGGCTGCTCTCTGCAGCTCACTGCTTTGATATGTAAGTAAGTGTGAAGCCTGCTCGGCCTCATCCCCACCTGCCCTTCCTCTTCCTCGCAGCACAGCAGGCTGTGGCTGCAGGACAGTGGAGCTTGGCCTCACAGCTTATGGCTATGGCACCTCGCAGCCCCACAGCAAGCGGGAAAGCGGCACTTTTTGGCTAAGCCCCACTCCTAACAGTCAGGTTTGCTTTCTTTCTGCAGTTACAGCGACCCCAAAATGTGGGTGGCCTTTCTAGGAACGCCCTTCCTGAATGGCAWTGACGGGAAAGTGGAAAAAATATTCCGTATCTACAAGCACCCTTTCTACAACGTCTACAGCCTGGACTACGACGTGGCGCTCCTGGAGCTCAGCGCCCCGCTCAAGTTCAGCAGCACCATCAGACCTATTTGTCTCCCCGATAACTCCCACGTTTTCAATGAAGGAGCCAGATGCTTCATCACAGGCTGGGGCTCCACAAAGGAGGGAGGTACTGGCTGAGAGGGCTCCCTRTCCCACCTGGCCACGCTGAGTGTTATCCTCCCTGTGCAGCTGTGTCCCAACACCCCACACCAGGGTGTACCTCGCACACGGTGCCAACCTGGTCCCCTCCAAGGCAGATTTGCCAAGGATGTGACCTCTCTTACCTCTCCATCCTCCTGGAGCCTTCCCAAGCTCCCTACGCTCCAGTCCTCACAGTCCTCTGGCCCTGTAACAGCTGTTCCAGCTGTGCTCGCACAGCACGAGGACCATCCTTGCTCTGCTGGGTGGTCTGGCTCACCTTCCCTGCACAGGTCTCTCCTTCCAACAAGAAAGAGGCAGCAGAGCTGCCGCTCCCGAGCTGCCTCGGACACACTCAGTGCAGCGCTGACAGCAACCGCTTCCCTCCTCAGGTCTCATGTCAAAGCACCTGCAAAAAGCAGCCGTGAACATGATCGGAGACCAGGCCTGCAAGAAGTTCTACCCCGTGCAGATCAGCAGCAGGATGGTGTGTGCAGGATTCCCCCAAGGCACCGTCGACAGCTGCTCAGTGAGTGCGAGAACAGCCAACACTGCTGCCTGAGTCCCCCGGTGCAGCTCGTCCACTCCCTCACACGATGTCGAGTGGCCCTCGGTTGGGGGACATGCTCCCAGGGCACTGGGGACAGCACAGCACATCCTCCCGTGTCCCAGGGTGTAAAGCAGAGCTGAGCGGATTCCGCTGATACTTCTGGTTTGATGCAGATGTTTGTGTCTCTCTGCAGGGCGATGCTGGCGGCCCCTTGGCTTGTAAAGAACCCTCAGGGAGGTGGTTTCTAGCAGGAATCACAAGCTGGGGCTATGGCTGTGCCCGGCCCTACTTCCCTGGTGTCTACACCAAAGTCACAGCTGTCCAGAGTTGGATCGCACAGAACCTCAAGCTCTGAAGCTGCCGTTCTCCACTCAGGGAAGGAGAGGAAAGAGAGGAGCAAGCATCAGGGGCTGCACGAACCCCTCGGATCTTGCACGTTTTCYTGATGCTGCAAAGGGACGAAGATGACCTGCAGCTGCGGGTGTTGAGCAAAGGCCAGTGCTCTGAGACAGTCTCGACACCAGGGCATTTGATAACTGCTTTGCATAGAGAGGGGCAATTCTAGAGGATTTTCTATAAATAAATGAGGCCTGTCCCATCTTACAACCTGGCCAAATATTTCATGCATTAAAACTCTACCTTTTCAAGGAACGGAGTGCCAGAAACAGGAGCCTAGTTTACAGAAGCTAGGACTAAAACGGTTGGGCTTGACAGGCTCTCACCTTTACCACGGAATCGGGATAGACTTCTCACYCCTGCAGCTACCTTTGAATAAAGGTGCAGACATCTGAGTCAGTGAAGGACATGGCAGGACCACACCATGACTGCGTAAAGAGGGGCTCACATCCCACAGCTGCGGCTTCAGGGGGCTGCTCCGTCCTGCTGCTGCACTGCCAGCAGCGCAAAATTCACACAGCCCTAAAGAGAAGCAAAAAGGCCCTTGAAAGAACATGGCTGGGAGGCAACTCATTTTCAAGTATTTATTTTACCTCACATGCACTGGAGATTCCAGTGTAGCTTTAAGTTAGGCTAAGCAAGCATTTCCCAATGGATTATCTTAGGCGGGGCACTGTAGCTCCTTTGCAGAAACCACCTTGCTGCAATATTAAGTGAAATCGCCTTCTCCCACCTCCCCTTGAAAGTCCTAGCCRCTTAGGAGAAGTCACCTTCCCAGGCTGTCTCTGCTCCAGCAAACAGTGCATATTTGTGCCAACAAGAGATCCTCATTAGAAAGGGACAATTTTAATCCCCACCGAACTCCCTGTTCTCAACCTTTTTCATCCTATTTCTCTGGTTTGCAGTTACTTACACGTACCTGCTCCCCAATGAGTCAAAGCCCATAAGCAAGCTTCACATAAACACAAAGGAGGAGGCAGGGAACTAGATGCTCCGAAGAATCTTGCAGCAGCTTTTTTTGGTAGAGAGACTGATTAACTCCCCCCATCTGGGTTCCAGGGGSCCCTGGCTTTCTGGACATGGGGACAGCACCACTGGCTTAGCCTCTCTTTTCCACAGAAGATTCTTTGCCTCTTACATCCCCTTCTAAAGGACTTGAGTCCAGGCACTCCCCACTCCGGCGAGCCYGGAGTGCTGGGAAGGGCACCAGGGCAACCAAGCAGCTCCCTGGGGCTCTTGGAAGGCTGGAAGAGGTGGAAGGCCCACTGTGGGGCCTGGTGCTAACAAAAGCCAACGGATGCAAGAGGTTCAGTGCGGGTTTATTGCTCTGCCGCGGCAGGGGCTGGGACGGCAGCCRGGTCACCCCGACCCGCGGCCCGGCCGCTCGCCCCTTCCCCGCAGATTCCATCGGGGGGTCCAGGCCCTTCACATGTTGGCTCTCTCCCGCTGCAGCCGCGAGTTGTAGGCTCGGGAAACCGTGTTCCAGGCATCCATGTAGCGGTCCATGCACATGGCGATGCACTTCTGYGGCGGAGCGGCGCCTGAGCGGCCGCACGAGCCAGCCCGCCGCTTCCCCCCCGCCTGCCCCGGCATCCCTCACCTGCTCCGAGTTGTCCAGAGAGCCGCCCGGCTTCCCGATGCACTTCCGAAAACACTTGTCCGTCATGCGCTGCGGAGCGGGGCCGTGAGGGACGCGCTGCCCTCCCGCCTGCCCTCTCCTCCCTCCGCGCGGCCCCGGCGGCCGCCTGACCTGCAAGAGCTCCTGCGCGTTGGCCACGGCGATCTGCACCTTCACCTGCTCCATGATGAGCCCCGCGTCCAGCTTGCCGCCGGCGCCGCCCGCGGAGCCGAAGTCGGAGCCGAAGCCGCTCTCCATGGCGCACAGCGAGCGCGGGCAGGCGCCCGCACGCGGCGCCGGGGGGACAAAATGGCCGCGCGCCGGGACTACAGCCCCCAGCGTGCACCGCGCGCCGGGACTACAGCCCCCAGCGTGCACCGCGCGCCGCCACCTCCTTCCCGCGCGGGGGATGGCGGCGCTGCGGAAAATGGCGGCGCTGGAGGAGCCGGGTTCCCGCCAGCCCCGCGCCAAGGGACGCGGCCTCAAGGGGGAAGGGGGGAGCCCAAGGGCCGCTTCTGCGCTTGGTTCGACCGTTTCCTCTCTGACACATGGAGCATAAGCTCAAGCAACCTCGCTCCTGCGCTTTAGCGGCCTTTAAATAAAAGAAGGAAACAGATAAAATGCAAAACATTTATTTGAGTGTGTTGTACAAAAGTTTCCAGTCATAAAATGTATATTACAAATCATTGAAAAGAGACAGGACATTTGGCATGCATATTCTTAAAAACAACAACAAAAAAACACCCTTTGAAATGATAAAGTCTAGATGATGTAATTTTCTTAAGCTCCGTTAAAACACTTCCCTCCAATTATCTTTATGAATATTTCCATCATTTTGTCTTTTGATTCCATTTGCAACATTTGTCCACAATCCCCACTTTTAAAACTTGAACTTTCCAAAAACATTTGCAGCAGCTGCCTAAAGATGGTCAATTAAGCTGATCACTGACCCAAAAACAGAGCTAAATAAGATGGTGTTAATTCCAAAAAAAGTCATAATTCATTCAAGTCACAAGGCATCACTGTTACGAAAATAGAGCTCAAGAAAAATGGTACCATTGTGCCCAAATGTAAAGCCTTTTGGCCTAAACTTGTTTCAATTAGCTTATTGCTCACAGTTTTAGCGTAAAAGTGATGTGCGTGGCTCGAACACACAAGAGCATCTACCCTATTGACACAGAATCCCTACTTTGTTAAAGGTAACTAGAAATTTTGGAAGTTCAATAAAGGACATTTGCACTATTCTGAATGGAATCTTGCAAAATTAAGCATCTCTTCACTCTCTAGACATTAGCATTTCAAGAAAGGCATTATGTTTACAAATAATAATCACATGTAAATAAAATTTTATGTTTTTAAAAAAGACACTTTTACGTTTTTCTTAAAGTGGTTTAAAGCTAAGCATAGTGAAGGGCAAATAAAAATTCTGTTTCCCAGGCCATTTTAAGTATTTGACAAAAGAAAATCTCTAAGATGATTTGTCTTCACATTAAGCTAAAATGACACTTTAAAAGAAAATGCAATCACTATCTCACCTTCCACTCACTGGTTTACAACAAGGCTTTGTTCACTGCTCCCACCTCATTTGGGTTTGGACCCAACAATGGCAATAAAATCCAGTATCCAATATGGATATGCCTTTGTTTGGAGATAAGACTTTCAAAAGGAGATAAAGAAAGTAGTAATAAAATGGCTTAACAGTGAGGAAGTGAGAGAAGAAGCTACAAACATAAAACATACACCATGCAACAAGTCTGGAGATCTGTTTGACCAAAAAAAAAAAAGGGGGGGGGGGATTCTCAAACATCTTGGGAAGTAGAGAGCATTTCTAAGTGCCTCTTCTAACTAATCCCTATTCAGGTTGCAGGTAAAGGGCCTTTATATAGAAACAAGCACTACAAACTAAGAAAAAAAATATAATAAGACACCCCCTCCAAAAATGAACATGAGGTGTCCTGTTGCTCAAGGATACACATGCACATTAAGTGAAATCTCCTTTCACAGTATGATCTGCTTCACACTGCGATGCAATTTTCATGGCAAACACAAGCTGCAGACAAGTCAGTCTGGCTTTTCATTACAGGCCATGGGAAGCAGATGTTTATTTTCTTCCTGAGAAGTTTTGGTTCCTGCTACTAATGTTAATGATGCCAGCAGACTCCCACCTAATGGCAAAACAGTGCTAAATAAAAGTGATCAATGATTTGCTGTAAACTGCTGTTCTTGCAGGGGCAAATCCAGAATCCTGGACTAACCTCAGTAGACACACTGGGAAGGAAAGCTGTGCAGCAACAGAGGAATCAGAAACGCTCTATTGCTAGGAATAAGGAGCTGCTCTTCAGAAGTCAGTACAACACAAAAGCTAGAGAAAATAGAGAAGCAGAGGGAAAGGAAACATCATGAAGTGACAGAAGCCATTTAATCATAGCACACTTGCAGGATGCCATGTTACAAATGCTTCTGCACAAACCTGGATTTCTTCTACCACAAGCAACCACACGCAGTACTAACTCAGGAACACACACTGGTACTTTATATCATCCTCTGATGATAATCTACACAATGAAAAGAACAACCTAACTCTAGGGATGACTTTCGCTATTTCATTCAGAGTAAAGTTTATTTTTCTCAGATAAAAACTTCCACATGGAAGTTACACTGAAAGGACTATTCTGCTGTAAGATATTCTGGTTAATTCCTSTAGTTAGAGAAGCCTCAAAAACATCTGTTTTTGACAAGTCAAATCTGTTCCTTTTCAAGCTCTACATCTGCCATCAGACACTGGAGCAGAAATACAATTCTCCAGGGCAGGTAACTTCCAGGTTAARAAAAAGAAAGACAGGGTATAGGAACACTGGAAGAAAACACATTAATTGTACTGAAAATAATTTAGTTTGAGAAAAAAAAATCCTTGAAAGACAGAAAAAAAACCACCCCACTGCCTTTTTTCTGGTTTGCTATAGTGAAAAGCCTCCCAGCATGTAGCACCAACATTAAACTGATAGTGCAGTTATATGGAAACTTTACATCAAGAGCAAATGGAAAGAACGGTGTCCAAATAAGACAGACACAAATGCAAACAAAGTGGAATACAGTAGTTTGTCTTCTAACTTAGAGCTAGGAATTATTTCTCCTATTTTAAGTAGCCTTTCAGAAACCACTATGGTGACAGAATCACCCACACTTACCCTATTCTAAAGTCTTCCCACAGTGCCAATCACTGTGTTATATGAACGCCTGCATATATCTAAACCTGGCACTGAAGAAGAAAAGAGTGTTTCCAAAATTACAGGAAACAATTCAAATCCAGGGGCAAATTCTGCACACCATTCCTAAGGGGCACAGTATTCATCACACCAGATCTGCAAGCACTGGTCCTTACGGCTACAAGAAGATTGATTCTCCTATACAGTAGCTGTTAAGAAAACTATGGCTCAGGTAGCATGAGGTCCTTCCTCATTCAAGCTGCCTTTCTAGCCCTTTCCCTAGAGAAAGAAGTCATCGAAATAAAGCAAAACAATTCTCTCATGAACTACATATTCACTGCTATAGTACTTAAGCTACAAGACAATCAAAGCAAAGCTAGTCACCTGGAAACTGGCCAATGTAAACAAATAAATACACCACTTACAGAAGAAAAAAAAAAAAACACACAAACACACACACAAAACCCCCTGAAACATAAGGAAAATCTATTAGAGAAGTTGTGGGTCAGAAAGGAAAGCGCTGTCCAGTGGCTGGAAGGTGCCTTGTAAAGACAGTTTTACACTGATTGCATTCATTTGCATAACAACCAATTTAGAAAAGGTAATTCATAACAGTATGTCTGAGAAACATAATTTCACTAGATACATATTACAGAGAGACAGACATGATTTACTGCATATTTAGCCTTCTACAAGGCAGGAAAACGACATTAGAAAAATGGCCAAGTCATCTTATTATCCCAAACAGCCAAATCTTCCTACTGCTTTTTCATAGTGAATCTTCTGATTATGGATTAAAGCATAATTCTAAATTCACATTAACTTTTATTGCAGTAATTCAGTCATCCCACTCAAGTATTTTTGAATACTAGTATCTTTGATTTATTTTTAAATGACAAAGTAAGTCTACAAGCTTTAAAAAAAAAAAAAGTAATTTGCTTTCCCACCCTACTTGCATTGCAAAGCCATCAAAGCCACTAAACTGACTTTCTAGGTTATATCTGTCAGTTGTAACATTATTCAGAGAACATAACATCCAAAAGCCACCGAAAACTTCCAAACCTTGTAGCTTGTCTGATGAGTCTAAACTATTGGACAAGAGCGAATATAGCAACAAGAGTCTATCCTGGTATCAAACGGTACCCAAGCTAACATTTGCTTATCCTTGAGCCAATACATTCTTTGGAGCAGTCAGAGATGCATTTCTGCACAAAAAACCTTCTGGGAGGCAAGCGTTACCTGCCCAGAAATACAGCAGAGGAAACCTTCACCTAAAGGGACGCTGTCAGATACAAAATACATCATATGGAAATTGGAAATAAAAAATATCAGCTACCAGTACAAAGCATTCTTCATAAAAAGCAGTATCCCCTTTGTTCAGTGTTAGAGTTTACTCTGAGCATCTGAATGCTGCAAAGCAGTGGTTATGCTCAAACCAACAGCACTTCCCATTAAATTTAAGAAAAGGCCATTAAAATATTTCTATACTATTTTGCAAATAGTTTCTTAAAATATCTGACAATGTCCCTTTGAATAAGAGAAGTATGAACAAGCTGCATCTAGATTTGAATTAAAGAGAGAAAAATAAACTCAACATTTACACAGGACAACCTTTAAAGTCCCAGATTTTTTATCATTAGACAATGTTAAATCCCCCTAAAAATACAATACCTAAAATTCTAGTTTTGACACTTCAGTACATACAGATGGTGCCTATCTTCACTAGCAGAACCCATCACTGTCCACTTGCCATAACAATGAGCTAAAGTTTTGACCAGATTTGGATGTCCTTACCACTAGGCTGCTAAATCCTACTTGGAATAAGGAAATATGCCACGACCCTGAGCTGAGGCCTTTCCAAAAGGCAGCTTCTCGTTGTCACTTCAATTGGTGGAGCAGCATTTATGATGAATTTGGCAACTAATTTTCCTAAGGCGGACACCGCAGAGGATACCAGTAGGACACTATCATTTCTTGAAGGATGGAGGAAGTACTAGCTTGAGTCTTTCCTGAGGTCCTGCACACAAATGTACTTTTTAAATGAACATTAAAAAAAAAAATTAAAAAATTACTTTTTGGTAAGCTATCAAGGT